TTGGCACACTGTGATTGCCTGCTGAGCCCATAGGGAATTGGAGTGAGAGCAGCCCTGGCACACAGGGGTGGCATGGTTTAGCAGGCACAGGAGAAGGCTGGCACACTGTTCTTGCCTGCTGAGCCCATAGGGAATTGTTAGAGTGAGTACAGCCCTGGCACACATGGGGTGGCATGGTTTAGCAGGTACAGGAGAAGGTTGGTGTGCTGTGATTGCATACTGAGTTCATAATGAATTGTTGGAGTGAGTGCAGCCCTGGCACACAGGGGAGGGATGGTTTAGCAGGCACAGGAGAAGGCTGGCATGCTGTGCTTGACTACTGAGTTCATAGGGAATTGTTGGAGTGAGTGCAGCCCTGACACACATGGGTGGGATGGTTTAGCAGGTACAGGAGAAGGTTGGCACACTGTGCCTGCTGAGCCCATAGGGAATTGGAGTGACTACAGCCCTGGCACACAGGGGTGGCATGGTTTAGCAGGTACAGAAGGTTGGCACGCTGTGCCTGCTGAGCCCATAGGGAATTGTTGGAGTGAGTACAGCCCTGGCACACATGGGTGGCATGGTTTAGCAGGGACAGGAGAAGGTTGGCACGCTGTGATTACTGAGCCCACAGGGAATTGTTGGAGTGAGTGCAGCCCTGGCACACAGAGGAGGGATGGTTTAGCAGGCAGGAGAAGGCTGGCATGCTGTGCTTGCCTGCTGAGCCCATAGGGAATTGGAGTGAGTACAGCCCTGGCACACATGGGTGGCATGGTTTAGCAGGTACAGGAGAAGGCTGGCACGCTGTGCTTGCTGAGCCCATAGGGAATTGTTGGAGTGAGTACAGCCCTGGCACACATGGGTGGCATGGTTTAGCAGGCACAGGAGAACGCTGGCACGCTGTGCTTGCCTGCTGAGCCCATAGGGAATTGTTGGAGAGAGTACAGCCCTGGCACACAGGATGGGATGGTTTAGCAGGTACAGAAGGCTGGCACACTGTGCCTGCTGAGCCCATAGGGAATTGGAGTGAGTACAGCCCTGGCACACAGGGGTGGGATGGTTTAGCAGGCACAGGAGAAGGTTGGCACACTGTGATTGCCTGCTGAGCCCATAGGGAATTGGAGTGAGTGAGTACAGCCCTGGCACACAGGGTGGGATGGTTTAGCAGGTACAGGAGAAGGTTGGCACACTGTGCCTGCTTGCTGAGCCCATAGGGAATTGTTGGAGTGAGTGCAGCCCTGGCACACAGGGGTGGCATGGTTTAGCAGGGACAGGAGAAGGTTGGCACGCTGTGCCTGCTGAGCCCATAGGGAATTGGAGTGAGTGCAGCCCTGGCACACAGGGTGGGATGGTTTAGCAGGCACAGGAGAAGGCTGGCACACTGTGCCTGCTGAGCCCATAGGGAATTGGAGTGAGTGCAGCCCTGGCACACAGGGTGGGATGGTTTAGCAGGTACAGGAGAAGGTTGGCACACTGTGCCTGCTGAGCTCATAGGGAATTGTTGGAGTGAGTACAGCCCTGGCACACACAGGATGGGATGGTTTAGCAGGCACAGGAGAAGGCTGGCACACTGTGCTTGCCTGCTGAGCCCATAGGGAATTGTTGGAGTGAGTGCAGCCCTGGCACACAGGGTGGGATGGTTTAGCAGGGACAGGAGAAGGTTGGCACGCTGTGCTTGCCTGCTGAGCCCATAGAGAATTGTTGGAGTGAGTGCAGCCCTGGCACACATGGGTGGGATGGTTTAGCAGGCACAGGAGAAGGTTGGCACACTGTGCCTGCTGAGCCCATAGGGAATTGTTGGAGTGAGTACAGCCCTGGCACACATGGATGGGATGGTTTAGCAGGCACAGGAGAAGGTTGGCACGCTGTGATTCCCTGCTGAGCCCATAGGGAATTGTTGGAGTGAGTGCAGCCCTGGCACACAGGGGTGGCATGGTTTAGCAGGCACAGGAGAAAGTTGGCACGCTGTGCTTGCACACTGAGCCCATAGGGAATTGTTGGAGTGAGAACAGCCCTGGCACACATGGGTGGGATGGTTTAGCAGGTACAGGAGAAGGTTGGCACGCTGTGATTGCCTGCTGAGCCCATAGGGAATTGTTGGAATGAGTACAGCCCTGGCACACATGGATGGGATGGTTTAGCAGGCACAGGAGAAGGTTGGCACGCTGTGATTGCCTGCTGAGCCCATAGGGAATTGTTGGAGTGAGTGCTATGGGGTTGCTAGCGGGATTTCTTTGGGGTCAGGGGTTGTGTTTCCAGTTGGAAATAATGTTTTGGAAGTACCAGTGAGGCCCTGGCACAGCCCCTGGATCCCTTTGAGTGCCCAAGGCCAGGCTGGGCATTGGGGCTGGGACACCCTGGGACAGTGGAATATGTCCCTGCCATGGATGGGGTGGAACAGTGATGCCTTAGGATTTTTAGTTTCTCTATTTTCGTGCATCTGTATTCTTGTACTTCCCTAGTACAGCACTAAAAAACTCCCGTTCTTTCATCTTTAGACAAAACAATCCCTCTCTGAGCCTGAATTCAAGGACACCTCACTGCCCAAGAGCCCCAAAATATGTAAACAACAGTGAGTTGAGAAGAAACAAGTTTGGGGTGGGTGACATCATCACCTGTAAAGATCATTAGAGAATTAAGACCCAATATGTTAATAAGGCAGAACTTAAAAAAGGTGAAGATCTCGTGACCCGGTGTCCATTTTGGGTGTAGCCTCAGGAGGAGGCTTTGTCTGCCCTAATGTACCAGTAGGCCTGTTAAGCCTGGATTAAAGTTGTGTATTCTCATTCTCTTAAGTTTGTCAGGGCTCTCTTTCAAATCAGCCTGATTGATAAGGCATCAACAGGAGGAGCTTTAAGGTCCCTTCTAAACCAGTCTGTGGTTCCATGATTTTATTGTGGTTTGTGCATTTGTGCAAATGTTTGTGCAGATGTGTCCAAAACACATTTGGTGTATTTGGTGAGCTCTCCCATTTCTGTGCAAGGCAGGGAGTTTGCCTTAAATCCTTTCCTTCTCTTAAAAGGATTGTGTTTATCTTCAAAGCGACCTTGTGTCATGGTTTAAATATTCAGGAACAAAACTGCAGGAAAGATAAGGGGCTGCTTTGGGAATTCACTGAGAGTTTGCTGTTGTTAAAAATGCTGCACTATTTTTGCACTGTCATGTGCTTGAACTGAGGGGGAACTTTGCTTCTACACAGTTTGAAAAAAAAAACCTGCAATTCTGGATCTCAATTTCCCTCTAAACCATGTTAAAGTGTTAAAATAATGGGATGAGTGTATCTGCTGAAGGAAAAGCTTTTGGGATCAGTRTTTGCAGTTTCTTGGAAAGGGATTGAGTCAATTATAGCACACAGATTGTTACAGCACAGAGCACTGGGCATGGCAAAACTTCCCAACAGCTGGAGGATGAAAAATAGGAGAGCTGATTCTGCAGGTGGAAACCACATCAAATTGGATTGGAAASCAGGTGCACGTTTTACAGGCTCTCAAGGACATGGTGGATTTGCCATTATTTTGAGTTAAAACCAGATTATCTTTCCAGAAAACATGCTTCCACCACAAATTTTCAGTGTCCATTAGGACAGGGACAATTTAATACCTCGAACTAAAGGGAAGGAGGCAGAACACTCTGGTCCCATTTGGCATCAAACTGTGAAAGGTGATTTCAGTGCTGCTGTGAAAATTAAACCCCTAAAATCCTGGAGGAAATGCCAGATTTACAGCTGAGAGCTTGGAGCAGCCTGGGACAGTGGGAGGTGGCACTGAATGGGATTTTAAATCCTTCAAACCCCACCCATTCCATGATTTTTCTGGAAAGGCTGTATCATGGCAAACTGTCCCTCTGGGGTGATATATTTGGGGAAAGCTGATCAAAGCATCTCCCCAGAGCAGAAATACAATTTTCTAACTACTGTAGAATTGAGGTGCTAATTACCTGAGGAGTTCTGCTCACAAATGTACCTCATGAGCTTCATGAATCCGAGGCAGATGCTCTGTTCATACTGCTTCTCTTTCATTTTTATACAGGCCCACTTGGCTTTCCCATATTGCCTCTTTTCATAGAGCAGATCTCCCAGCTGCAAACAGAGAGAAAAATTCAGGGTTTTAATTTCATCATCTTAAAACTTCAAACAAATACAAGTTGAGCACAAAAACTGCATCTTTTTTCAGCTCTTTTGTTCCTTGAAAGGAATGTGAATTAAAATCCTCACCCTTATAAACCAAGGAATACACTGCTGATTTTAGATCAAAACTGACTTCAGCAGTTTTTAKGTAGTTCTCCTTTAAAATAAGGAGCTGTCATATTTTGGACTGGCAGAATTAAACATTTAGTTGCAATTACCACTGAATAACCTTATTTTTAGGTGTAGTTGTTACAGTAATACTGAGAAATTTCTTTCCAGCTTTTCATTACAACGTAGTCAAGATTCCCAAACTGTTGACATGAAATGCACTCAAATGATGGTATTTATAAATGTGATTTATAGGGATCTATTTAAAAGAAATGGGACCAAAAATTCCTCATGGATGGTCARTAAAGGTTTTCATGGTTTGTTGAGTTAAGGTTAGAACTGGTTTGGACATTTCCTGAGCTGTRCATGAATTTCAGTTTTTTATAAGAGGATAAGATGGGTTTGCAAATTGCTGTTTTGTTTGATAATGATCCCTGATACAGAAGTACATTTTTGGTTTTAAATGCAGATATTCATCTCTTTCAARTACTCTTTGCTAAGGCTTTATTAATGTGACTGTGTAAAGGATTTAAGTGAGGAAATGGGTATTTTATTTCAAATGTCAGAGAGGTTTTTGTTAAATTAATTATGTCACAAAGGCTGTAATTCTCAGCCATTTTCTGGCTTTCCTGGCAGTTTCTACTGCGCAAAAAAGAAAATTACACATGTATAGGGGTGAGATTGGAATTACCCAGTTACAGTGCTTTGCCCCTGATGTTCAAAACCCTGAAAAATTCCAAGAATTGCTGAGGAGCCCCATTTGTGGGATCTGGGTGGGAATGTACCTTCTCCTTGCGCTGGATCAGCGTGAAGGGGATGCTCTGTCTCTCCTGGGGGTTGTTATTYCTGGTCAGCTGCTGGATGGGCTCTGCCATATCTGCAACAAAACCACACA